ATCAGTTTTAAAACAGTTGCTACCTGAGCCCCCTAAGGGCGAAAGACCTCTGCCCCCCAACACCTGCAAATGTCAAGCACAAACGAGAACCGAAAGAACGCCGACTTCCCTCGCCCCGTCCCATCCAACACCGAGCGCCCTCCCCCCTCTCCCGGCACCGACCCACAACACAACACCACCCACCACACCCATCCTCCAACCAAGCAACGCCCCCCTGAGCAGCGTTACACCGCTCAGCGGGGCCTGTCGACCACGTGTGTCTTATAGTACCGTACTCACGAAATTCCGCTTTATAATAGTGCTCTATAATGCAGCATAATATCACCGCTTCGAGGAGGTGGATACCCAGGACGGGGGCGGGGAAAGTGGGAGGGGCGGAGACAGCGAGTGGGGGTGGAGGAAAGGCAGAGAAATGTAATGAAGTGCCTCAAAGTTTGATGCAAAAACGCATGATCGCACCGGCTCGCCTGGTGCGTTCCAGCCTGGGTTTTGTCTTCGCCTTGTGCACTCATTAGTGTAAATCATCGTACATTTTGCATCCGACAAAATGAGCAATTTTCATTTAACGGTCGTCCTTTGAAAATGACCTAGCTGTTCAATTGGTAATTTTCCCTCCAAAACTTTTAATTGCCCCTACATGAGAACCACATATCTTTCTAATTGTTCTCATTCTTGAGTTAACAATGTTCCCGCCAAAATTTTCATGTCCTCGTTCGTGAGATGTAGAGAAGCATGATAGCTGATATCAGCTTTCTAGCGCCACACTTGGCCACGGAACGCTTCAGACTTTACGTGGTTGCTGAACAGGAATACCCGAACAGACAAACATACACACGCGCAGAAAGATGCACACACAACACACACGTGTGCACACACACATACATACATTAGGATCGTCGCAATATTCGTTTTTACTGCCTGTTGCAGCGCTCTAGCGCTGTGGGGCAAAAAGCATAAAAGTGATCAAATATGGGTTTGTGATGCTATGCAAACAACTAAATGCTGAAGGAAAGGCAGTAAGCTTGTGCTTTTACTCTTTTTGGATCAGAAGAAAAAATCCGGTGCTTTCACATTACTGTACTTCTCCAACTTTAACCCAAAGCCAAAGACGAGCGCATACTGCGACCAAACCGTGCCGGCCGAAATTTTTCCGGATCGCTTCAGCTAAATTCATCCAGACCTCTTCTGTTTTTGCAATTCGCTGTTCCTTTTTTTGCTTCATTCTGGTGAATTTAATTCAGCTCGGAGCTTCATCAAAACAGCTATTTGAATTATTTGCAATTGAAGCGATAGAAAATAATAAATAAGAATGAGAGAGCGCTTTTTCGATTCGTCATAAATTAAAAATGGCAAAGTAAGATAAGATAAAAAATCAACTCTCCCCAATCCGCAAAAATTTGAAATTATTTCTACATTTACGTTTCATTACATTTTGATTTTTGAGGGTCATGAATACTGTAGCCATTTCGGACGTGTGAGAACATTTCCAATAATATTGTAAATGCAGCTGTTTTGATGACAAAGCTGCATTTACGATAACGGGGTATTATACGATAAATGCTCTTATTTGTTTTTTTCCCAAATCCTTTCTTTTACATTTCCGATCCCCAGTAATAATCTTTTGGCTCTTTCTTTTCCATACCGTAACCCATTGTTAGGGGGGAACAAACATTTTCGGTGTCTGGGAACACATCTGGGTAGGGTGTTTGACTTGGTAGGACATCACCCTGAGCCGCGCCCCCTCCCCCTACTGTATAAGACCCCCTTTTCCTCAGTTGAGACCTTGATCATCTCGTCAACTCGGCCTACGGCGCCGCCACGACTATCTTCGGGTTTTTCTTGGCCTTCGGACTACGGCTCACTTGGACGTCATTCTGCTCACATGCCATCTATTGGCAATGGGCTTCAATCTATTTATTAACTGAAATGGGTCCTCCAGCAAACTCCATGTTTTACAGATGAGTTACTTTCTTTTTACCTATACGCTAATTGCTGACTGAGTATAATCTCCCGTACCTCTTCGTTCTCATTTTGTAATTTAATGCAACTAAGCATTATAAAGAACTTCTACAATATATCAGCTTGTGTGCTCCACTAGACCACGCCAAGATCAGAATCTCATCGGGCATGTCCCACATTTACTATATCATGGGATCCCAAAACCTAGGTGATCTTGGTAGATTTGGTGAGAAATGCTTGGATAATTCCGTTGAATAAGTGGCGTGCAGAGGTCGTCCTGTACGTAAATCAGGATATCAGGAAAGGGGATTACTATATCAATAGATAAAATTTTTAAATTTACAGCTCGTTTCAGTCCAAAATCATTAAAAAACTGTCAAAGCTGAGCGCAAAACTTCCATGTTAGGCTAAAGTTAGGAATTAAAGTTTATCTTAAAGCCATTCGCCACATTTACTTTAATGAATATTTAATAAAGTGTTCCCGCAGATGCAGAAATTGGAGTTTTTAAATAGAGTAACAATACACTGGGCTCTTCAGAGGCCGCCGGAGAATATATGCCGACAAATACGTTTAGCCCGGGCGGGAATTATTCAGTTTCTCCTCTTTTTCATCTTCAAACACCAAACTCTTCCATGCAGCAGAGGCTGCTTTCTTGCGCGCACAGTATACCAATATAATTGTTTATAGTAACCTAAAATTTGGGTTATTAAACCATACAAAATTATAACAACAAAGTATCACAATCCTAGAAATCTATCTGCGCCCCATACACCCTCACGCCCATTCTTCAACTCACAAAGATCCCCATGCTCAGGTCAAGGCAAAAGAGACTGGAAGGGGAAGAGGGTACCAAAGAAGGAACCCAGAATATAA